CCTACCTGCCGGCCGCCGCTCAGAGCCCGACATGATCGTGGACAAAGACACCTCGGCTCCGCGCCTTGCCTTGCCTTGCCTTTCCGGGTCACGCCCGCCTCTTCGGCCCACCCCGCGGGGGCTGAACGTAAGAGACGGGGCGGGAGGAGGTGGGGAGAAGTGCTTCGGGGCCGTGAGGGTTGCGGAGGTCCCGGTGGCCGGGGCGGGAGGCACCGGCAGCAGCACTCGGCGAAAAGGCTGCTGCCACCGGGCCGGGGGATGGCCAGCTGCGGGGGCTTCAGCCCTTCCCGGGGCTGCGGGCAGGCCGCCGCGCCCTGAAGGTAAATCCGTGGCAGCGCCCTGCTCGGGAGATTGCAAGAGTCGGCTGGCGCAGGGCGAAGCTTAGCCGGGAAAATTAAAGGATGATGCGTTAAAGCGTTTTCCAGTACTTTTAAAATTTGCAAGACATTACCTGTATTCCTATGATGCGTGCTTTAGTGGCCATGTTTCATTAACTGAACTGTCATATACAAAGGCATCACCCTGAAATGCGGTAAGAAGCTACTGTGTTTACTATGAGATTCCTCAAAACTGCACTAGAAGTCCCCATAAAGGCACGTACTGTTACGCAAAATGTATTTTCATTTGGGCTCCCACACATAAACCCTTAAGAGGTTTGGATGCAGATAATTCTGCAGCTTTGCTCTACTCTTGCATCAGTTCTCTTCGATGATCTTAGAACTGTGAAGAGAGCACCAAGGCATTGAAGAGAGTGCTAAAGTAGCCTAACAAATTTCCTATCATCTGGGCTATTTCTACCTAGACTCTAGGATAAACTCGAGTGTGAATACACTCTTAGAGATTGCTGCTAAAAGCACAAAAGGAGGTGTCTTTAGAGCGCGATTTTAGGTATTTTTAACCAGCCTGTTTGACCTGGTTTTACACAGGCTTCTTCCATGACTAAATCTTTTTGACAAAGATGTCTCCCTTTTGGTTGAAGGAGTTATGAGTATTTCTAATTGCCTTTGCTTGCTTTCCCCTTGTTTGGGCTTGTTATCCTCTGACTGCCAGTAGGCAGCTAAATCAAGATAAAACCATTGTTTAAAGTGTCTTTGTGTGTACTTTAGTTCAAACATGGTACTATTATAAGTTTCGTGTCTTCTGCTGTGAAACATTTAGACTCTTTATCAAGGAGATTCTTTTTGCAGACTGTAAATCCTAGATCTCTCAGCTCACACTAGAGCTGCCCCAAAACCCAATGGCAGCAAAAATCCTGTGAGGAAGTTGTAGCTGTAGAACCTAAATCTAGGACTTTGTAAGAGCTTTCTATTCAGCAGAGGCTAAACTTCTATCAGCCATGTTCCTCAGTCCAACAATTAGCTTAGATCCTAATAGGACAACCAAACATCTTTCCCACTTTGTTTTGCTGGAGGCTGAGATCATACTCAGTCAGCCGCTGCGTCCAGGTGAGTCACCAGTAACTTGATTATGTACATGAAACCTAAGGTAGCATTTGACTGATGTGCGTTTCCTGCTTATTTTAACACATAAAAGTTTTTGTTACACATGAATGTGCATGTTTTCAAACACTTTCAGGTTGTTGCGGTAGCTCCACTGTAAGTGGGCATTTTTAGAAAAAGCAAACTGCCGTTTGAAGAGGGAATTTTGATTGTGGACACACTGCTGTTGTTCAGATCATCCAGGAAAGCAAAACAGCTTGAGGAAGGCAATTAGATTAAGACTTTAACCTGTAAAAAAAAAATACTCCAATATTTAAAGGGTATTACTGATGATGTAAAAGTATGGAGTACTGAGTCAAATGCAAAGAGCTGCTATAAATAATATTTTTTACATACATACATAGAAATATGTAAATTGTTAAACAGTATGATTAATCCTGGGGGTGATAGCTAGCCTTCATTTTGGGGCTGTAGCCTGTAAAATGCATTTTGTATAGTTTGCAGGTAACTCTAATGAAGGATTTCTGCTACAAGAAAAGCTTACACAAAGACTCCCTGGAAGAAGTCAAATGTCTTTGTATGCAGAGCTGTCAAAGTGTCATCTGTTGTGCTATCTAGCAGCTCTAAAGCTCTTTTTAGTGTCTTAAATAATTTGAAGGAAACTCTGGAAGGCTTTCATGACATAATTACAGGACAGTACAGAAGGGGAACAAAACCCAGCTCTTTCCAACAGTGAAAATTTTCTGTGTTCATTTAAGCATCTAGTTTAAGCTCATTTCTATGCAACTCAGCAGCCACCTAGTTGAATTATAGTGTTTTGGACTCACTGTGGTATTTTTTCTTTTATTTTAAACAAGCAATGCCATTACCATTCCCTGCTTTGGTGCTAAAAGACTATGGCAGAAAATAAATTTTACCAAATTTAGAGGAACCACAAGTTCTTCAAGCACAGTTTTGTAAAACTCTATAGTAATACTTCTCTTGAAGTGCTGTTTCATATCCACAAATATGAAAAGAAACCATGAAGCCCAGCCAAAGAACTTTAGCAGAAACTTTATTCTATGAGGCACTTACAGTCAGTATACTGTACAGTAAGAACTAGTGAAAAAAAAACAAAAATACCACAAAAAATGGTAAAGAAAAAACATATAAAAGTATTTATAGAGGAGGAATCACATTACAGTCCATCAGTCTGGTAAATTGTAGGCTTTTAGCATGGTTTCCACTCCCTGTTCACAGGTGGAATATTTTAACTTTCAGTCCTCTCCTCCTGTGGATTTCCAAGGCAGAATCAGAGCAAATCAAAACCTTTCACAGAGGACCTAATGGAAAAGTTAACTAAGGTCTGACAACTGGAGATAAGCAATGAAAGACCAGTACAGAGAACAAACCCCAAATAATTCAGATACGGGGTGGTTTCAGCTAGAGAAGTTGCAGAGGGAACAAATGACAGAAGTACAGGCTCAGATGTTTCTTTGCCTCACAGAGGTCATGGAAACAGATGACAGAAATACAGGCTCAAGTATCTGTCAGCCTCACAGATGGCATTTTAAATAAAAAGGTTTGTTGGGTATACTGACCCTGTCTGTGGAACTTTCTTTTCATCAGAATGGACTAAATGAAGGCAAACATGAATACAATAACCAAATGGTGCCACAAGACAAATATAAATCAACTTCTTTGAACAATATATTCTTTCTATGCATATAATACACAACACAAAATGTTTTATTTGAAAAATAAACATTTGATTAATTTTTAAAATAACATAGCAACTACACTCCACCATTGTGTCAAATCACAAGTATATCCGTAGGTTGCAAACTTCATTTCAGTGGTCAAGCCTTTAAGGATCAGCATATTTGATCTGAAAAGTGCTGCAGAAGTAAGGTTGATATAGAATCAGGTAGAAAAATACAGTGCAGATGTGCACTCTTGCTAAAGGTTTGGGGTTTTTTGTTTGTTTTCCTTTTTAAAAAACAAACTCATGGGACAGCATACATCAGAGAGCTGAAGGCAACTGTACCAAAAGGATGAAAGTACAGACTATTTAAGATGCCATATTAATGCACACAAGACGCTCTTTTCTGTTGGATCTATCAGATGCATCAACTGCTAGTAAACCTAAAATTTGACCTATATGAAAAATCATCTGAGAATTCAATACAACTCTTCTCGCCTCTGATTTCCCCATTATGGAGTTTTCTTAAAAACTTTAAAGCGGCACTAGTGTTTTACAATAGGATACCCTGAGCGGACATACACCAAAGGAAACTATTTTCAGTTTCCGAGCTTCTGGCATAAAGGGGAAGAGAAGGAAGACTTGTTTCTTTTTTACATTAGGAAGAATATCATAGAGACTTTCAAACTAGCATATTCATGTCAGTGTTTACTATATTATTGTCTGAAAAGCATAAAGCTTTGTAACCAAACACTTGCTTAATTCCAGCTGAGTCTTTGACTTTCTTCTACACCATGACAGCTTGGTATCTTCTTTCAGAGATCTGTCTTATCCTCATACTGACACATACATGCAGCTCTCTGGCTATCCAGGTATGGTTTACATCCTAAATGTATCACCGCATCAAACAACAGCTGAACAGTTGATTCACAAGCTGCAAGTAAAAGATTTCAGTTAAAAGTACTCTTTGGATGCAATATGAAATAACAGAAATCACTCTGGCGAACTGAGAATTATTTTAAAAAAGAAGCAATCTTCTCTGGGCACAGCAAATAGATTGTCAAATGAAAGACCAAACCAGTACAGAATCATTTAAGTTGCAAGTAAAGATTTTTCATGTGCCAATCAAAAGGAACAAGAAAATTTATTGCATTTGGTGGAATATTACCAGTATTGAAAACATCACTTAGTCTTGGAAAGATGAAAGATCTGTTTTACCCCCTCACTTTTTACATCCCAATTTATGCACAGGTTGCTATCTTTAACAGCAGCTCAACAGAACTGAGCAAATATCCACCAGTTCTAACACTAAACACTAATATGATGACTTCTTTGCAGTTAAACGAATGTGAGAAGTTCAAACATAGGCTTGTTCTAAAAATTTTGCTCTCAGTGGGACGACCTAGTGTAAAAGTGACATTGTCCAGGTTAAAAAGCGTGGTTATGTCATGTATTGATCAGATGCAGGCCAACAACCAGAAGAAGTATCACATATCCTGTTACTGAAAAAGCTAAAGTTTATCCACTAAGGGTGATTTATTACTTCCACTGTAACAACGTATTATTTTAATATCTTACTTCATAAAAGGAAGCAATTCAGTATTTTCCCACAGTTTACTAGCAGTCACAAGTAGTAGACGTTTAGAACTCACTCAGCAGAAGAGTAAATATTCAGCTGTGCTACAGTAAATGCAAGAATTATACATGCATTTTGATCAAGTTGTATTCCCGTATTTATACTCCTAAATGGGAAGCATCATTTTTCCCCTCAAGGGTAGTTTTAACCGTGATCATTTTCCTACCCTGCATCACTGCTCTGCTGTACAAGTGTCTGGGCTGCACCACAGAGGGACAGAACGAGGCATCTTTCAGCAACAGCATCAGTTTATGAAAATGTGGCATTACTGTGCTGCACAAAGATTCTTTGCCAAATAACCTCCGTTAAACTTGAAAAAAAGAAAGGTTTTCTCACACTTACCCTGCACACTCTCTGAGATTCCAAGTGTTTTCTGCACATCTCTGCAAATTTTGGAGAGGCAGGTCTGAAACTGCTCATCACAATCATTTTTTTTATTGCCACAAGTATCATAGCATCTGTCGTGGTGATTGCAGCACTTTGTCATCGAAGGGATACCGATATCAAACTGTGAAGAAAATCACACACACTCCATTGGTATTCCAGTTAAGAAAAATATGAATAGACTATAACAGTTAGAAATTAAAAATGAATGCAATCAATCCAGCTGTCATTAACTTACCTATTTTGTTGTTCACCTCTACTAAGTTGTGGTGGCTTGGCCCTGTCCAGCAGCCAAGCAGCAACAGAGTTGCTTGCTCACCCCCTGCAGCTCTCCACAGAATGGAGAAGGTGAATGAAAGAGGGAAAAAGTGCCCCAAAATAAGCAGTGCTAAAGCAGTCGTTCACCACATCCCACAAACGGATGGATGCCCAGCCAGTCTCTGAGCAACAGCCACCTCGGAAGCCAAACACACACACCACTACCCTCCTCCCTTCTTCCGCTGCTGCAGATCTTACTGCTAGCATGACTCTGTGTAATATGGAATATCCCCCTGGCCAGTTCAGGTCAGCTGTCCCAGCTGTGTCCCCTCCCAACCTCTTGCCCAGCGCCAGCCTACACTCTGGGGTGGCAGATGGGCAGAGCTGAGAAAAAAGAGAAAGTCCCAAAGCTGTGCAATCACTGTTCAGCAGTAGCCAAAACCATCAACAGCTTTAGCTCAAAATCTCAAACATAGTGCCAAGCAGCCTTCTAGAAAGACAGTTAACTCCATCCCAGCCATACTCAATATATAAGCCAACCCATATTTTCTTTCTAGCATTAAGGAAGATGAGTTAGCATCAGTAAGGACAGAAAGTCAGAGCCAAAGCTTCCACTCCCACAGGGCTACACTTGGGGCTATTCGATGCTTTCAAGGTTGTGAGAACAAAACACAGTTAAAAAATAAGAAATTAATCATCATCATTCTATATCCCTCTAATACTTTATGTCAATGATGAAAATGTTTATGCTATGTTCATTTATAATGCTAACATTTTCCATGTGTTTTTACCAAAGCCTGCGCTGGAGGTGATAAAAGCAGGGACATAGTACAAGAATGCTGTCTCATCCTTAGAATGGGAGGTGGCAAAAACTGCCCACATTGAGGAAAGCGGATGTATGAAAGACACACAAAGAAGCCTCAAAATGGAAATGCTTACCTGAACGCCAAATAGAGGGGATCCACAACCATTTGGTGGTGAAGGTTTATATCCATAGCGAGGAAATGGCTTTGATCCTGAAAAAGGTAATTTATCATGCCTCAAATCGATTTTTTGCACACAATTTTAGTACTGTCAAAACTCATCACAGGCAGTGGTTTGGCTTAAGACAGTATAATGTATATTTTAACTTAAACATATATTTAGGCACCTGAATATCAACAATTCTTACTGAATCACAACTTAGGGGTACTAAGCATGTTTCCAAAAAAGGGGGACAAGACACCTGAGCAAAGTGTTAATGTTAGCTTGTAGCATTAAAGAACAGAGTAATTTAGAGTAAGTTCATGAATACTTCATATATGCAAGCAACAGTAGCACTCTGATTTTTTTAACTTAAACTTTAAAAATAGCTGGAATGAAACTTCTGTTTTACTTCTACAACTGTAACATTAATAAAGTCTGAATTAGTAGAGACTACTAAAGTTATATGTCCCTGAACTAGTGCATCAAGACAGCGAATTCTGCATCCCGAGTTAAGGAAGACTGTGGAGTTAATTTGAGAAATGACCCTTCACCTTGTTTCCATATCGTAAACAAACTGAGGCCACAATTAAAAATAATGGAGAAGAAAACACGTATTTGAAAAGTGCATATTCTAGCAGAGGAAATGTCACAGTGTCCTGGCCACTCTTGTGGAGTCAGTCAGGGTGCCACTACCAAACTCATCTCCGGGTATAACAAATACTCCTGCCCTGTACGCAGGGGTAAAGCGATTCAGCCGAGAGAGACCGAGAGGACGTGCGTGAACCTCCCAGTCTGGGGCGCTCCTGAGGCGCCGGTGAAAAGCCTGGCAAGAAACCCCTTTTCAGGAGCATCCCCCGCCTGGCA